CTCAGAATAGAATCTCCGAAGCAAATATCACACCATTGCGGATTAGCTCTGATAGAAGCAACTAATGAACATGGGTCCAACATCCTAGAAAGACATGTTATGTTAGTGAAATAAATAAAAATTATACAGAATATTATACACACCATAGGAAACAAAAAGCTACTCACCGAAATATTAGAGCCCATATTTCTGTAGGTAGGGGTACCATACGACAGCAGGAAGCGGCAATAACAGGAAACAACCGAAACATCTTGATCAAAGCACAAAACAAATTGGAACAATAACTGATTGATGAGTCCCACAGCTTTTATAGCTGAATGTTGTTCATTGAAGCGGAAAGTTTCCCCTTCTCCTTTCATTTTATTGACCTAATACTTTCACTCAACTATTACAGAAATTGGCGCCAAATTCAGCTGATTTAATGAATTATGTGCCTCTCAAAGAATTATATTTCCAACAGAAAAATCATATCGATACTCAAGCAAGTAAAAGAATCCCGCTGATGATGACGCAGGTTGTCACTCCTATTGAAATTTTTTCCATATTCACTGCACGAATACCTACTGCAAAATTTCGTAACAGCGCAATCTCAAGGACATTGAAGAGTCGAGTGTCAAGGTTGAACTTCACGTTCAAAGTCACATTATGTGCACATATCTCAAATCCATGTGACGTCATTCAAGGTCAAACGGGTGGTGGGAGGATAAGGGCCGGCATTAGCACCATACTTTTGTATATGAAGATTTACAATCCGAAAAAAAAATTTGGAGAGTTCATTACAGAATTTAATGAATAAGCTGTTTCATTGACCGCCAATATTCGTCGAGCCCCCTACGCCAGTGAGGAATGTACATTGGATTGGTAAGCCAGAGCCTTCTGGAAAGGTTACTCAGAACTAGGTCCAGTGGGGGGCCAATAACTGATGATCTTTAGTTTCTAATATGGGATAATATAGAATCAAATCTGTAGAATCGGATCGCACTCAAATAGCGTTCCGCGATCTACACGATGCGTTAAATATGGATGACCCCAGATTCCGAGAAAGGGACAAATATCCCAGGCCGACTAAACAGAATAACAGACCGCCCCCGTTAGTCGCCGTCAGGCGACTCAGGTAAGTATAAAACTAATCAGATACACTCTTTTCCAGGTAGGTTCAGCCAAGACCACTTCGACCACGATCGCGACTCTAAAAATTTTTCTTGGATGCACTGAGAAACGCTCAATGCATAACACAAAGCCGCCGGTTAGTTTTTGGGGGCCCCCATGCTTAAATTCAGTTAGGAATAGTCATATAAAACAACGATTCGATAAGAAAGTAAAAGCACCTAAAGGCTGACTTTCGACCAAAAGAGGTCAGATGTCAATCTTGCTGAAGTGCCCATCAGCAAGTTGAGGACCGCTCGGAGAGCGGGGGTGGATGGAGTGGGGTAGTAGGTTCTCCTCGCTAAATANTTAACAAATGACTTTAGACAAATTGTACACTGAAGTGATTTATCACCAGTATGCGTTCTTCCATGCGTTTTCAAATTGGCACTCTGAAAAAATGACTTCGAGCAGAATTTACACTGAAATGATTTTTTTCCAGTATGAATTCTTTCATGTCTTTTCAAACTATTATTTTGAATAAATGACTTAAGGCAGATTTTACATCGAAATGGTTTCTCCTCATTATGAGATTTTTCATGAATTCTCCAATAACTACTTGTAGTGAATGACTTTGAGCAGATTTTGCACTGAAATGGTTTTTCACCAGTATGAATTATTTCGTGCTCTTTTAAATGACTTCTTCGACTGAATGACTTTTGACATATTTTACATTGAAATGACTTTATCCCAGTATGAATTCTTTCATGTCCCTTCAAATTACTGTTACTAATAAACGATTTCAAGCAAATTCTGCACTGAAATGGTTTTATTCCAGTATGTGTTCTTTCATGAATTTTCAAAGAACGACTGTGAATAAATGATTTGTGGCAAATTGTACACTCAAATGATTTTTCGACAGATTGTGGTTTTTCGTGGATCTTCAAACTGGGCCTCTCTGTTGTATCTACTATCTCAAGTTTCCCGATTCGATGGTTTGCAGTGCCAAACTCCTTTTGACATAAAGCTGATGACATATTTTCATTGAAGCTATCTTCTTTCTTCTCGATGACTGTTTCATCCTCTGTTTCGATAAAAACGTTCCCAGAATCTGTAAAAAAATTACTTTTGAATAAAAAACCAACAAAACTATTTGTTTCTCTTTTTTTACTGTTGATTTAACACCGAAAGGGGTAACCCTTTTGGGGTTCTACTATGGTAAAGAAAAAAGTATTATTCAAATGACAATGAAGATGATAATAACATACTGGATAATCCATCGATAATGGCAAAGAAATTTAATGACTTTTTTTAATAAAAACGCCTAAAAACATCATATTAATCCATTTATTCCCGTTCAATATCCTAAAAGTTGTTGTTTTTTCCGTTGGTTATATGCAATGATAGTGTTGAATGTACTAATGCATAATAAACTTGGATAAGAACAGCCTCATGAAGTTCATACCTCAATTGCAAAGTAGGATTTGGAGAATTTTTTTGACAAACTTTCAATACGATCAGACCATGAGAGTGACTTATCAATCGTTATACCCAGAAACTTAGTAGAGTTATGTGTCTGAAGGACTTCACTATCGATCAGATTCTTCTTATTGAAATATATAATTTTTGTTTTCTGTGCATTCAGCATTAGTTTATTGGAATGATAATATTTTGTCATTTCACTAATACCGAGTTCAACTGATAGAATCATCCTCCATAGATGATTCAGCTATACCAAATATTGTGTCATCAGCAAAACAGAAAACCCACTCACCCCGGACAGTGGTTTCATGAAAGAAAAATTCTTCAATATTTGATAAGAAATAACAATTTGGAACATCTTGCAACAATAACAAATTACTGGTTCAATAAAAGTAGGCTCCAGCCAAACCCATCTAAGTCTCAGTTCATCATATTTATTCATCGGAATTCCGCAGCTTCTCCAACAATCAACGTTTTCCAACATATCTTACATGCAAAATCGACAGTTAATTACCTAGGTGTTACGCTTGATTCCAGACTGAATTTCAACAGCCACGTCAATAACAAAAAAAAGTGATTGCAAGAGCCGCACATTTCACAAGTTTGACAAACCCGGGAGCATGTGCAAACATATCAACAGCAAGCCGAATGTATAAACTAATCTGTCGTCCACTTATTGAATATTCGCCTCAACTGTTTCTCAATATCAAACAAAGGGCCTTGAAAACAACTAAAGTATCTGAAACAACGGCTATAAGGAAAATAACAAGATTAATGCATCCCAATACCAACTCACTGGTTTTATCCCTATCGAGGAAAGACTACCGTCACTTACTCAGAAGTTTGCTAGAAAAGACGATAATGTAGAAATCATTAGAAAGTATGCTGTGACAAGATAATGACATACTGGATAATCCATCGATAATGGCAAAGAAATTTAATGACTTTTTTAATAAAAACGCCTAAAAACATCATAATAATCCAGTTATTCCTGTTCAATATCCTAAAAAATAAACAACGGTTCACACCGTTCTGGAGAGACCATGTCCGGTACTAATGATGGGGCAATCACTGTGAAACTGGTCTATCGGTTGGTCGGATCGACCAAACAAAATTAATTTCTGCTTTGCATAGTGGGAAATAACTTGCGACGAATCTTTCAAATCGAAGACGTTGCACAGTTGCCTGATGGTTTTACTTCATATCTCTGCACGGCATTAGCTGGGTGGGTTGTTGTTTTTCCTTTGGGTATCTTCCACACGTACCTACAAAGTCGTAGGTCTGCATGAGAGGAAAGGGGAAATCTTGAGCATGTCATATATATACAGGCCTAATTTTTTAGCTGATACCACTATTGCTATCTCGGAAACGGTAGATCCTACAAGGACGGTTAAATGAAACAAAAGTTGCCTATTTAGGGATGCAACACACTGGTATTTTCAGATCTATAAAATCATCAACGGTTTCTGAGATATTTGCAGAACAATTTTTTTTTAAGGACGAAACACAAGCACTACAGGAAATCGTTAAGGCGCTCTAAGAGCTGTGCCTGTGAGAAAGTAGGGTTTCACATTGGATTTGAATCGCTGAAGATAAAATTACTGAATGCAAAAAAACGTCATCAGACTACAGTACCTGTGGTGAAGGAAAATGTGGGTTTTGAATCATGAGTCATAACTTACCCTGTATATCAAGGAACTTATTTTGAGAGCCTTCACTTATTTCTTCTATACATTTTTCTGGTTTGGGATCATAGTAAACATCAATGACACCTTCACTTTTAATCTGATCTATATCACATTTTTCTTCCAGGTTATGGATAACCATTTCACTATCAAACATATCATAATTTTCAGATTCACATTTCACGAAAATTGTTTCAAAAACCACTTCATTCCCAACAGATTCAAGCTCTCTCTTAATAATTCTTCCACAATCATCGGTAGCCATTATCTTTGAATACAGAGAATATATGCACAGCTTACTAGTAAGCTGTGATATATGTTTTCAAGTTTCAAGGAGGAATTTTTATTCAATTTGCCCTCAGAGTAATAAATAAGTAGAGATGCCCTCCGTATATAAACACAACAGATTTGTAGACAACCATGATATCCATCTCTCTCACAGTATAATGTGGAAAAGGGGACTGAGGGAATTATTTACATAATCCTCTGGACTGGATCCAGGGGCGTGCGGAAAATATGTTAAGAAAATTCTAATGACTATCAACTTTTAATTCGATCGAAAATCTGGGTTACGCCCATGCTCTATTTGTTGTTTACCTGTGAAATGTTACATCAACATGCGAGGATTGCGAAAATCCACAAACAACGCAGGTTTTCACCCTCTTCAAAATTACTTTTTGCACTACAAATCAATTATATCGGTCAATAAGCACTCAAATCACCAAAATAACTTCCAAAAACGACGAAATACCGGTATTATCTATTTCTGTTAGTTGGAGGACTATCGTAAATATATACACAGTAATTTGGCTTCAGAAACAAGGACAAAAAGGCATCTTTATTTATATTATTACTCTGAGATTTTGTCAACTCTTGAAGAGAAATGTCATCCACTTCTTCGTCTTATTTTTTATTCATTTTTGGTCCAGCTGTCCAGAATGATTCAGAAAAAACTATCTTGAATAATAATTCAGTGTCAATGTCAAAATCAAATGGAAGGAAAAACAGAGAAAAAATTTTAGATTCAGTACAAACTGTTATAGGTTTTGTTCCAAATCAGTCATTTCCTGCTCGATCAAAATACATCGACGAGAAGTTGTGTTTTGTTGGCACTCAGATTAAGTAATTTCCTCCAAAAGTTATTCGTTATCTGTATTCTATATTTATAAACTAAAATAAAATTTCAGTCTTTTGTTTATGAATTCAAATTTGAAGTTACGACTTCATTTCGACTTTTTTATAGAAATTTCGATTTGAAACTAAAAATATTCAATTTTCGAAATTTCGAGTTTGAAGTCGAAATTTTGTGATTCAAATTGAAAGTAGAAAGTCGAAATTTCGTAGCTAAAGTCGAAATTTCGAAAATAAAGTTGAAATTTCGAGACTAGATTCGTAATTTAGAGTTTAAGGTCAAAATTTCGACTTTTGAAGTCAGAATTTCTAAGAAACAAATGACAGAAAATGACAGATTTGGAATAAAATACACCTATGCAGTCTGTACTGAATCTAGAATATTTTTTAGTTTTTCCTTCCATTCGATTTTGACATTTACATTTTGACACTGAATTGGCCTTATTGAGACTGGCAAATTGCTGAAAAGGCAGAGCTCTAAGAAGAAGAAGAAGATGACCTTATTGAATGATGCGACCCCATGGTTACCAACTGCGGTAAAATAATGACTATTAACAATTTGACATTTGCTAATAAATAAATAACCTATCTTTCTGAGTTCCTTCCGATTTTCATTTTTGCTAAATGAGAAACTGATTTCCAGAATATGGCCGAAAAGAGATTTCCAGTCGTCCTATATGAAGTTGGGGCTCCAAAATGAAGAATCAGTGATGAAGAAATATAAGATAGTCTGTCCCAATTACGTCCTAAAAATGAAAATGCAGAAGGAACTCAGAAAGATAGGTTATTTATTCATTAGCAAATGTCAAATGTCATTATTTTACCGCAGTTGGCAACCATGGAGTCGCATCACTTCATAAGGTCAATTATTATTGATACTCGCTTCGGCAGTACATATACTTAAATTGGAACGATACAGAGAAGATTAGCATGACCCCTGCGCAAGGATGACACGCAAAATCGTGAAGCGTTCCACATTTTTCCCCATACCATATTTTTCTTGAATGTTCGATTACTACTAGTCCAGAAAATTTAATATATAAAAATGAATGTTTGTTGGTTGGTTGGTTGGTTAGTTGGTAAGTGATAAACTTCTACATCCCTCAACCGATCGTGATGAAACTTGACATGTATAAGTAATTTTTCATAGAGAAGGTTTTTAGGCTATCAATTTTTTTGTAAATCACCACTAGATGCAGCAGCGATACAGTAACATAGTACTAATCAGTACTACAACAACAAAATTCTTCGCGGGCGAAACCACGGGCAATAACTAGTAATATATATAATCAATTCAAACAGAAAGGAATAACAGCTCCTCTGAACATGTCTACAGTCCTGGGAAATTGTATGCAAATTCATGGAGTGTAACCATATTAAATTATAATAGCTGGGGGAGGCGGGTACACCCACATCCACTTATTATCCCAAATTTATCAGTTTCAATCCTAACCCTACACAAGCTTTGTATGTATTCTTTGTCCGGTGAGTACCTACCAGCAAGTGAAGATAGAACGCAGATCCTCAAGCCAAAAGTTCTAATTACGCAAGAAAATATCAATTCACGAGGACATACAGACGTAGTTTGCGTTAAGCAAGACGTACACACAACGTCCTCGGACGAAGCGACTGTTGCAAAACATCTGTTATGTAATAGGAGGCGACTGGTCTACTGCGCCGAAGGGAAGCAAAGACCATAAAAAAAGAGAAGAAGAAGAATGTATATCAACAATAAAACATGTAGGAAACAACATCTTTAACCAGGGTTGCTTCTCATCCAAGACAGCAATTTTGGCTGTGCTGGACCACAAATAAACAAGAAAAAAAAAAAGTTGAATTACATGATTTTTGTTCAAAAATGTATTCACAAAGTCGAATAAAAATGAAGAATTCGTCGTTAAAATTTTTTGTCGGACTCAATTAGTTTTCGAGATATAGCCTGTCAAAGTTTGTATGACGTCATATTTTACTTTTTTTAAGCAAAAAACGATTGTAATTCACATATTTTTTATTTACAAATCTTTTTCCATATCATCGCACCTTTTTTTACCCTTTTCTAAGTAGATCATGTTGGATGTTTAGAGGAGATAGGCTTTTCAAAGTTAAATATTCGAAAATACGTTTGTTTTCGAATTCGGAGATCAGGTTAGATGTTGAGGGACGATATTTTTTTCAAATTGAATATTAGAAAATATGTTCCTTTTAGAATTTGGAGGTCAGGTTAGATGTTGAGAGAAGATAGTTTTTACAAAATTAAATATTCAAAAATCCTTTCTTTAATGGCGCCTCGCAAATTTCTTTCCTCACGTGATAGTCCAACCTAACCTAATCTAACCCGACCTAACCAAACCCGACCCTACCTGCCCTAACCTTACTCGACCAAACCTAACCTAACCTAACCTGACCTAAGCTAACCTAACTCAACCTAACCATACCTAACCTAACTCAACCTAACCTATCTCAATCTAACCTGTCCTTTTAGTACACAAGTATACCAACATAAAAAAATCGCTTATTGCTTCATCAGTAATTTTTTCACAGATTCTGGAAACGTTGGTAAAACAGAGGATGAAACAGTTGTCGAGAAGAAAGAAGAGAATTTCAATGAAAAGAAGTCATCAGCGTTATATCAAAAGGAGTTTGGCTCTGCAAACGATAATATTTTGAAACTGGAGATGGAATATACAACAGAGAAGCCTAATGTAGAAACTAGGATTTAGATTTAAAATAATAAACAAACGTCAAGCAGTAATGGAAAGCAGAAGAATAGTGGAATTGCGTAACAGATACTAACATGCCTGCAAACAAAAGATCGCGACTAATTATTGTGTATTGCGGAGGAATTAAACGATGGGCTCTGAATTCTTTGAAATTATGTGGAAAAAAAGTTGAGGACTGCAATATTGACTATCATAAGAACTATACATCGATCGCAAATTTGGATGCGATGACATGTGACATATTTTTGATTACGATGGTCAACTTAATCATAGAACATCATAGGCATACGTTGATGCGTCACTGTGATTGGTGTCATCATGTGAATGTGGTTCCACCTCGGTTTTACCCCGCTCCCTTTCAGAAATCTACCTCGATAAAAAAATATCTTGTGGCAACACTGATTACATGGTTTCTGTTCAAAAAAATGTTCACAAAGTCGAATAAAAATGAAGAATTCGTCGTTAAAAGCAAATTCCCTTTATTCAAATATAATGGCTACTGATGATTGTGGGAGAATTATTATCCGAAACCCCTAGAGAGATCTGGAGCGATCGTTGCCGATATAAAAAGGCCGCTTCTCGTCCAGAGCGGGAGTATGAATTTAGAAAGCGAATCGAGCGGTAAACAGAGACTTCGAACAGTGAAGATAAATTAAGCGTTAGTTGCGTTGTTCGACGTTGGTCGAACAGACGTATGGTCGAGAGCAGCGAGAGCTGTCATTGGATATATTAGTGTTGTGAAATGTGATGTGAAAACAAACAGCTGATAACAGTTGATAAAATAATCTTGTGATAGAGACACATAAAAATAATGCCTGCAATTTTTTGATTGAGTTAAACGGAATATTCGTCGAACAACATCAGTTCCGATATATTTTATTTCGGTACAAAAATCAAAAGTGATAAGAACAAACAGCAGGAATTTCTCGGATTCTTATCTGTTGGAACAACAGGTTTTGTTTCGGGCCAGCTAGAATTTATTTAATAATTTTGGCGAGGAAGAGGAACCTTCGCCAAATTATCGACAGTCGAATCGTATGAAAACTGATCTGATGATAAAAGATGGAGGATAGAAAACGTAAAAACCACTCTGGGACAGGAGATAAGTTCTTCGATGAACAAGAGGTCAAAGACCAAACTGAGTAGAACACCGGAGAAAGAAGAACACAGAGTCTTAAAAAAACGGAAAATGCTAGAATTGGCATTGCAAGAGACGAGGGCAGCGATGGAAGAGTCCGTCAAAGAAATCATGAATAAATCGGGAGAAAAGCTAGACCAGCTCAGGGATGAGCTTAACCGTACAATGCATATGGAGGGCCATAGAACAGAAGAGGAGAGCGATGATACGGAAGGGATAGAGATACTAGAAAAAGTTAGGAAAAAACGCAGCATAAAAAAGAGGGACATAAATAAGGGTTCGCACTACATGGCACATATGATTGGCCACATGGCCACTAGATTCTTAGGTGGCAAGATGCAATTCAATAAAGAAGAAGAGACTGTGCTAAGTGGTAGCTTGCAATCAATAATAAAGATGAGCGGGCGAAGATTTGGAGAAGAGAGTAAAGGCATTTGAGAGT